CTCTCTCTCTCTCTCTCTCTCTCTCTCTCTCTCTCTCTCTCTCTCTCTCTCTCTCTTTCACGCACATTTCTTTCTCCCTCCGACTTTATTTTCTCCTCTTTCTTTCGCCCCGATTGATTTGCTCGTCGTTCATTCGCTGTTTCTCGCCCGTTAATTCACCTTGTCTCCTTTCTATCACTTGTTCGCTCACTTTCTTCCCACTCTTTCTCTCTCTCTCTCTCTCTATCTCTCTCTCTCTCTCTCTCTCTCTCTCTCTCTCTCTCTCTCTCTCTCTCTATCTCTGTTATCCGTCACTTACGCATCCATCGTGCATGTCTGATGTCCGTTCTTTCCATCTACTCTTTTTACTCTCCTTGTATCCTTTTACCCTCTTCCTTCCTAACGTCTGATATCATGAATTCGAGTCGACAAGATGCGTACTATCCATTTGAAAGCTGCATGTGTTTTCGCGAAACTAACGAGAGAAATCAAACCGCCCGTTTTCAACTCTCTGGTTACCGATATCGTTTCTAAAATTCGTCAATATCATTAATATTTGTTATTCTTTGCCGCGGGCAATGTATCACAACCGAAAAATCACATCATAATCGTAACGCACGCTCGAGTCGAATCGCGAACCGAATGAAGTTAGGTTAGGTGGGACGCGTAAAGTGTCTTCGCGATAGTTCGCGATTCGCGAGAAGCGCGCGAATAGTACGTCGCGTTCGAAAGATTTACGGCTCATCATAGAGACTTTAGAAATCGGCCGCACTAACGATCAGCGATTACTCGAATTACTAGTGCACAAATTTTGAGATACACTCACTATCGCCGCGTGCTGCACGCAATGGCCTAGAAAACCCGCGTTTGCCAAGCATGCAACATCGTCCTAGACTAGTATAAATCGAAAATGTTTCTCGATGAAACATTAAGAATTAAGAAGAAACATTAAGAAATATCTCGTCTTGTTTTAAAAGGAGTCTATCAAGAGAAATGTATTTATTAAATAGACTCGAAAGACAGGATCAGGTCTTTTCTCTCACAAAATTAATCCTCAACTACAGCTGTGAAAACATTTAAGTTCTAAAGCGTCCTGTTTAAAGTATAAAATGCAAGTAAATCTTCGCCTTACGTTGATTAATAGAGAAATATTTGAAGTTACTTCTCCTACGATTTATAAAAACTTTATAGGGCGGTTTTTATAGTCTGTTTTTATTTTAAGTACTGTCTCAAGATATATTCAGGTCTCTGATTGATTCATAACATCTTAAGATTGTACTTCAGACAGTCTTAAATGTAATGGGCTTTCTACAATAAGCCGTTAGTCATCACTCATATCAGATTAGTGATAAGGCAGAATTACAGTCATAAATCTTAGGAAACTTACAGCCAGAATAAATAACATTAGATCATTACGTCACAATATTTCAGCCGTTAATCAGAAGGGTGATTCTCAGGACAAATACATTATGTGATTAGTCAGTCATAACGTAATCTAAGTTTTAAAACAATGGAATTTCACCATCTACCTGTAGTCACTGATTACTGACTTATGTCTCACTGCTGACCCACTTATAACTTGCTTCTGGTTTCTGATCTATAACGTTTTTGATCTTATGATAGAAAACCCATAAAAATCGATTATAAATATCGCCCGTAGTACACAGATTGTATAACAATCCAAATTTTCACTTCAAATAACCCATTGCTATATTTAGAGAATTAAAAAGTACAACAGTCCAATCCAAGAAGAATCGCGATGGACACGTGATGATGAAGACCGAAGAACTCATTCTTCTTATTTCAAGATCATTTTAAGGAATACCTCAAGATGCTAGTAAGTACTTTTCATTTGATGACACAAGTCGACATAAACGTCATTTTGTCTTTATTACTCACTAAATGTGAAGAAAGATGGAACGAGGCTTGCGTTGACTTGTATCGTGTCACTAAATCGAAAGCATCCAATATTTATGAATGACTTATGATATCCTAAGGCTGTACTTAAGATTCTTAAATATATAAGAATCGACTACAAATACCGAATGTACGTTCGCGCGATTTAGTGGAGCGTCGCGCTTCCTTGCGAGTTTCGGACTTTAGCGCGCGTTCCCTTAAGAAGGAGAGGGAGGGAGGGAAAAGAGAAGGAGAGGGGAAAGGTCTCGCAAGCACTCGCGAGTGCTGAAAGTACGGCGAGGGCAACACGGACCAAGCGAGACATATCCATTGTGGCGCGTCATCGGAACGCACCAGGCACAGCCGGGGCCTCGACGTGCGTATCTGATACAGCCGTTCCTCGGCGCTAAAATGGCGATCGAAGTGACAGCTCTCGCTGCCGTCGGCTTCTCCTCCTACACCTATACTTCTTCCTTCTCCTCCTCCTCCTCCTCCTCCTCCTCCTCCTCCTCCTC